CGAGAGAAAATACGCTAATAATTTTTTATTTTTCTAGTAATTTTCTTTTCTGTCTTGCTTTTTGCCGATCACATAGCACATAAGACAATAAAAAAAGCACGCGTACCTCTCAGTGGAAGTTATGGCAAAATTAAGCCATCGCTGCTGAGTTTTGTCCCACTTGATTATCCTGCCATCGGATATGCCAGTGTAAGGGCCGTGACCATATGGGTTAAATGCAATGCTTTCGGGTCCAACTGCCTCTGGCAGAGAAATCGCTTCTGTACTGGATGGTTGTGATGAATCTCCGTTTCGATGAATCGCTACCATGGAGGAGAAAAGCACCACGATTATCGCCATCAATAACAGCTTTGCGTTCATAATTTTCGGATTTTGGAAAACTTGGAATCAAGCAGGGAGCTAAATTACGAAGTTGTTAGGTGTTGTTTGGTCGATTGTCTACCAAATTTAAAAGCCGTGTTGGATAATAATTGTATTTGAGTATTATTACAACTTTGAAGCTATTGTCAAAAGTTTGGTTTAAACACCAATTAATACATCAGCGTTTCACCAAACAGCACCAAGCGCCATTCGAGAAAGATCTACGTAACATCAACCATTACTGGACTTATACACGCCTCACGTTTATAATCAAAACTTGCACAAGGTCTTAGCCAAGTAATAAGTGAAAGGTTTTAGACTCATAAAATTTTAAATTCAAGTTTTATTGTACGAAAATTTAATTTAATTTAATTTTATATTTTTAATATGTGGCAAGTTAGAAATTTTGGGATATCATGAATGATTATTTGCCCCATGATTAGCAGATAAATGTCACATAGGAAGAGTGAAAATAAGAGCTTCTAAAAGAAAAGCTCAATCTTTTGGGTTTTACTAAAATCAACTTAAATTATATTAGATTCTAAATTTGCATTTATAGACCTCACTTCTTTAAAAAAAAAAAAAATTAATTTTACCCTTTTATCAAAGCTTAAGAAAAAACAAAATGAAATGTAATCCTAAAGATCCAAATATCTAAAATGATAAAGCCCAAAACAATATAAATAAACTAAATAACAATTTGATAAAGATAAATAAAATAATGAAACTAACGTCAACTTACAAGTTCAGATATCAATTTCATGCTCTCAAACTGTCTTTGTCTTTAAAGGTGAAGGTAATTACACTTGTCCATGAATTGAATCTTAGACCAAGTTTTTCAAATTTAGGTTTGATTAGATTTGAGATATTATTTAATTAATAAAAAATATTCATAATATTTTTTTTAAAAATTTTAGGAAAAGGTTATCAAAACACCAATTGGACACCTCCAGAAGAAATTGCTCAAAGACTTTTTCGTTTTTAGTCCCATCATCCATACAACGAACTCCATGCATGAAGTCATGCCAACCGAAGTTCCTTCCCTCTCAAACCCGTAACATCTTTCAAGGAAACAATAGAACTTAAAATCTTTAATTTTCTTCTATACGATGATGATAAAACTTTTCAAAATATGTGTGATTAAAAGGTTTGACACACACAAGATTGCTATTTTTTTTTCCGAAAAAATTTGATAGTCCTGTAATTGAAGTGGTTGCGAGTCCTATCACTCATCCATCATATTTTTAAAGTTTAATATTGATTCAACATGAATTTGTTGTTTTTCTTTATTCGAGAATGAATATTTAATTGCTTCAAATGGATCATTCTGATCAAATTTTTGAAGAAGACTTACTTGTTGAAAAAGTAATCTTAAAGAATTAAAAAGTTTCAAGATCTCATTGAGAATGCTTTATTAGATTGTGAAATCTTTTAATCTGACTCTAGATACCAAATAATATATACTTATAAATAAGAGAAAGTGAAAATAAAAGATTTCCAAAAAAAAACTCAACCTTTGGAGTTTTACTAAATTCAACTTAAATTAGATGAGATTGTGTTCGTTGATTAGGTTAAATTGGGTTCGGGTCGGACTTATATTTGCTAATAATAATTTATATGTGTGTCTAGATTTGATTAGGTTTGAAATTTTGAATCTCATAATTTTTTTAAATCTAACCTAAATTAAAAAAATAAATGCTAAACCTATCAATTAAACTTAATTTATATAATAAAAGAATAAAAAATTATTAAATTAATTTTAATGAGATTATATTTAATTCATATATATATATAAATTAAAATTAAAAATTATATATATAAAAATATAATTTTATTTTTAATTTTTATATATATGTAAATTAATTTATATATAATTTACATATATATATGAAAATAAAAATTTATATATATATGAATTTGGGCCAAACTATATTAATTTTAAGCTTTAAATATTTTATCTAAGGCCTGTCCAAATTTAAACAAATTTAAAAATTATATATAAACTTATTTAATGAGATTTAATTTTTTGTCTAAATCCTCTCAAAATTTGGATAGACTTTTTTATTTAAAAAAGTAGCTCCAACCCTTGAACAGGTCTAATTATAACTCTATATTTATATACCTCACTTCCTAAAATAAAAAAAATTATTCCTATCATTTTATCAAAGTTTAAAATAAAAACAAATAAAATGAAATGTAATCTTAAAATTACACATAATCAAACTACAATAAAGCCTAAAAAATAAAAACTAAATAATAATTTGATAATAATTAAACTAATACTAATCTAGAAGTTTATAACATTAGCATTTTCAGAAAAGTGAAAGCTGTTCAACTTGAATTTTTTTAATTCTAGTGAAATTAAAGATTTTTTAATTCTAGTGAAATTAAAGAAGCTTGCAGCCAACAATAAAGAAGAAAAAATAAATAACAGAGTATTGAGAACCTTGTTTTAATAATCAAAATTTAAAATTTGACAACTTCAAATATTAAACAAATATAGAAAAATATTATGCTTCCTACCTATATTACCCCCAACACTATGCACCCCGTCCAATCTCAGGGATGAATTTCCTTTCCATGTAGGGAATGTTTGCTCCCTTCTCAGATTTTAGAATTTCAAAAAAATATTTTAAAATATTTAATTTTTTTAATTTATCAAATAACCTAAGTTAGCTTATACATATTAAGATAACGTTAAATTTCAACGAAAATAATGTAAAATTAAAAAAAAATTAACATATAAACAAATTCAAAAAAATAAATTATACATATTCAGAAGTAAAAAAAAACCATCAAATACATATATCAATAACATACTATTAAAATCAGAGTTGTGCATTTATAGCAAAGAATTGTGCTTTATAAGACGGCAATTTTTTGCCATTTGTGTGTCAATTGTGTGGTGAAAAGAGGTGTGTGCTTTGTTGCCGAGGTCAATTGGGTTTTCTTATTGAGATGGGCGGACAAAACGAGGTGGAAATTGATCGTGTATGCTCCAGCTGCATTTCCACCAATTAGCCAATCAACTCCCGTCCAAAGGACTAGCAATTTGTTGTTCCAATTCCTCACAATCGCATCAACTTTCACCTGCAGAATTTTGTTACTAGTAATGTAGAAATATTTTTTGGAAAATGAATTTTGAAAAATATATATATTTTTAAAATTAAAATAGATTTTTTATTGTTTGAATGAGTTAATAAAAATATTTTTGTTAGTTGGTTATTTTTTTAAAAAATTATTTTTTAAAATAATATTAATACAACTATTAAATTATTAAAAATTATTTATTATTAAAATTATTAATATTAAAAAATAATTATATTTTAATAATGATATTTAATATTAAAATATTATGTTTAATATAAAAATACTTAAAATAAAAGTATTTATTAATATATTATAATATTATTTATTAATATATAATAATAATTTTATTATTTATTAATATATTATATAATAGTATATTATTTATTAATATATTATAATAATATTTATTTATTAATATAATACTATTTTCAATATTATAATATTATTTATTAATATTTTATAATATATTTTTATTATATTTTTATTAATATAATATTATTTATTTATATAATATTATTTTTAAGTAAAATTATGTTCAAAAATATTGATAAACAATTTTACTTATAAACAGTTCTTTTTTAAAAAAAATTTTTTTTTCAAATCGTAAGATAATTTTAAAAAACAGTCTTATTTTTATTGATCAATAAATTATTTTTTTATTAACAAATCAATTTTTTACTAAACCAATACTTAAAAATGTAAAAATTATTTTTTAAAAATCATTTTTTAACGAAATAATCAGAATCTTAATTTTTTGTCTCATCCTGAAGCTGCTAGCTTGCCTTTTTAAGTTCACAGTTTACTTTAATTTTATCTCCAAAGAAGTAGTTGGTGCAACCAACTTGTACATGTAGCCAAATGATTTGCTTGTGTGGAAATTTTGAAACTTGAAACCTAGTCTTTTGCTATCAAATTTGCTTCAAATTCACATTACTCTTTCATCCTCTAATTTTTCTACAATATGAGAAAATTAAATAAATTAAGAAGGATAATTAAAGTAATTAGCTAAGAACTAAATAAAATTATAGAATTAATCACTATAATAATTTTACAAAATTAGAGTTATCAAATTTGTTCCATCAAATAGAGGTGGTATGTTACTGGATTGTCCTTTTACACTTATCTTATTAGAAGCGATATAAAGCATGAAAATCATATTCATGCTTGGCTTTGTTCTTTTATTAAGTATAATTTTTGAGGCTAGAAATTATAATCAACTATTAGATAGCAGATTCATAAACTTATCATTTTTTAAAAAAATGTTTAAATTCCAATTTCTTATTTTACCTTACATTTCATTCTATTAATTATATACAAAAGTAATTCTGGAGAAGCTTAGTTGGTTATATCAATAATAATACAATTAATATGAACAAAAAAATAGTTAATTAATGTTAATTATAATATATAAAATAATGTAGTGATGATGTTATTGTATATTGATTTTAGAATAAATATATTAAGATATGTAAAAGATATAAATATATAAATATTTTAAATAATTAATAAATATGCAAATACAAAAAAAAAAAATAAAAAATCGTCTTAGCATATAATGAAGTGGTATGTGAGTTATTGATTAATTCAAACAGCAAGGAAATAGTATTGATGTTGCTAGAGGATGGAGTGAACTTTAAAAAAGAATCCTTCCACAGCGGGTCAACTTTACATTTATCCTACTTAATGGTCCAAAACATATAAAAGAAAACAAACGATACAACATACCACTAATAAGAAGTGAGAACTCTGTTAGAGATTATAAATGCCAACAAAAGGCATCATTACTGATCCAATCCACAGTTTCCCATCCTTCTCTTCCACTTCGCTTATCAACCTCATGGTCTTTCCTTCAGTATCTTCCAAAACTTCCAATATTTCACCATTTTCACTCAGCTTTATAGCAATGCCATGGGGTTTCCCTCCTATAAATAGTGAGTGCAGTTGCTTGAAACTAAGTGGAAGCTTTAACCATGTTTTTCCAAACCACTGATACGAATGACCAACTTAGCAAATAGTCCCCTTTTTGAATGCAATGCTACCCAAAACTCCCCTTTCACATTTCTTCTAATGTTGTCTGGAAATCCAGGAAGCTCTGAAAAAACATCAACATTTCCAGCATTAGGACCATGAAGCCATAGCCTTAGAATCCGACAATTGGCGGTCTCAGCAACAAGTACAAAGGAACGATCCTTGCTCAATGCAACACCATTGGCAAAAGCAAGGTCTCGTAGTAAAACTATTACTTCCTTGCTTGATTTGTTGTATTTCAGCAATCTGCCAGTTTTGTCTTGACTTAAGATTGATGGCAAGAATTGCCTGCAAACAGAAAAATAATCTATGAGGGTCTCTTCTTTGCTTATTTTGTTTGTTCATTTTCTCCTCCTAGGAAAAGCCACGTAAGTTATAATCAAGACCCACACAAACAAATGTTATTTCATTTGCACCAAGGCAACCTCCAAGAGTAACAAATCAAGAAGCAATTAACCATCCAAAACCAAAAAATTTAAAGATTTCTATGCCACAAAAATCTGTTATAAAAGAAAATAAGGCAGATGAAGGACCAATTTGCAAGTATTGGATTATATACTTCCTTTTCCACCTACAATGTGTCATTTTAAAATTTACTTTTGGAAAAAATCACTTCTTTTACAGCATAAAGAAAATTTTATGGAATGTTAAAATAGAGATGCCCGCTCGGCAAAAGTTTCTATGAGCTTCTGAATATTTTGTCTATTAACTAATAATTCAACAATCGAACTAAGTTCAAGTTTTTTAACTGCAAATAATTGAAGGCTTTCTTTCTTCCTTTTTTCTTTTTTCTTTTTTTTGTAAGCCTTCTTTTATAAAAACATATTTTTCAACAAATACAGCCTACAACTCTTTATTGCATTCAAATTCAACAGTTTGGTCAAACTTGAAAATTTTTTAATAAGGCTATTGTCAAACTACCTTGGTGAAATATCACAAAACTAGTTTTAGTTTTCTCTAGAAGTCAATTTAACACATGCCACTAAAGAAGGCATTTTCCTTTAAGCTCTTTCTATCAACTTTTGCATCTCAAAACATAAAGGCAAAGGAAAGTTTGGGCCCAAATCACCTTCTTTGGAAGCTTGTACTGGTATCAGTGAAGTAAATGACATCATCAATCTCATCAATGTCCAAATCATTGGTGAAGTAAAGTGGTTGGTCCTCAACTTCTGCGATGAGTTGAGTGGCCAAACCTCCAGTAGGACCTACTACTTGGAAGCCAAAGTAGGCATCCGCAATGTAAAGATCCCCAGTTTTTTTCTCAAATCGTAATCCTAATGGCCTTCCACAAATATGCTCCATCTCTGGTGCGAACACCTGACCACAGTCCTTCCTTGAAAATAATGATTTACATCAAATAGATTATACAAAAAATAGTATTACCACTTGAAAATTATTGTACCATATTGTAATCATGAGTCCGATTTTGTAATGAACCCATAATCTACAAGCACTTTAGACATTTTATCACAGCCTAGAGCCTCAATACAATCCTATCTAAACCAGGCATGAACTCACACTGTCAAACAGATATTCAAACTTCAATATCTATTAATGTGCATGTGTATGCCATTGTATGAAACAGCAAGAAAGTATGTATATGTGAGTATTTGTCTCAGTTATAATGAATCTGATTTATGTTCATGGAACAACCACTGTTTCACGACAAATTACATACCATAAAAGTAGCATCATTTTTTGTTAGAAAGCATCCTGGGGAAACTTAACTATGGTAAAAAAGTGGCAGTCCTCACATAATGGATCCATTTTTGTTGGGAGGAAGGAGTATGACATCGGTAGGATGGCACAGGACCTGGGCAGAAATAATATAAGTACTCATCTGTTTTCTGATATAGCTGGGCCGGGTTTCCTTCCCTATTTTGTAATGTTTTATTTGAAGTTCTATGAATGAATGCCATTATATACCAAAAGAAAGAAATATCAGGCACTATGTCTCACAGTATTTTACCAATGAAAACCTGGAGTTGACAATATTAGGACAGAGCTATTTCAGTATGAGGAATCTGTTTCTTCATTTTTGTCCCAATCCCATTGAATCCCATAGCAAAGTCACTATATCAAAAGCCTTTCAGAAGTAATATTCAGTTGAAAATAGCAAGAATTGAAGAAAATGCTGTTAACCCAGCATGTAAAATTAACAAATTTGAGTTCTAATTGTGGAAGAACAAATCAAAAACTGTATAATATAACTCAAATTTGAAACGTCATTTCACCCAACAACAGATTTAAGTTGGTCTATCTAGTTCACCAATATTATCTTAAAAAGATCAAATTGAAACAAATCATGCTTATGCATACCAAAAAAAAGTTTCAGTTCTTCTCCAATTCAATCATCCGCTGTCCAAAAGAGAATCTACATTATTTGAGGAACCATTTAATTAAAACGTTACCGGTGAGAAGAGGTGAAGGCAAAATCAGTCCAACCGAGAGCATCCCCTTGCCATTTAAGAATCCGACCATCAGCAACGCCGGTGTATGGGCCATCTCCGTTGGGGTCAAAAGCAAGACTCTCGGGGCCAAATGCTGAATGGAGCTGGATGGTTTTAGCACCGTGGAGGTGGGTGTTGGAGTCTGGAATGGCAGGTGGATCCAAGATGTTGAAAGATATGATGATGGATAGTAATGCTACTAACGTTGTACTTAACGTCAGTTTCAGTTTAGTATTCATGGCTTTTTCTTATATCTTGGATTTGCTGTCTTTGCTTTCTAGTTGCAAGTTTTGGGATAAGTTCTCGATGGCTATGAGGATTTTATCATTATTTCTCCATCTACCACTATTGAAAGAAAACAAACAATGGTTGAATGTAAGGTAAAGAAAATGTGCTTTCTCGTTTGTTGTTTGAACCATAGGTGGCGAAAAAGATAATTTTTTATATATTAATAAATTTACTTGAGTTGATTCAAGCATCTATGGAATTAAATTCAAAAAGCTTTACTATTAAATAAAAAAAATTGATAAAAAAAGTAAAGTTAGATGTTTTGGATTTGCAAATTGTAAAATATGTAAATCCAGCTTATTTGTACAGATATATTTGTTTATTTTTAAAAAGTTTTATTCAATTAAACACGTACCTATGCCAAACTAATATGATATGGTCTCTATAATCTATACAAATAGTAACGACAATAGATGAGCCAATATAATTACGGTCAAGCATGATATGAAACAGTAGCCTTTGGTCCACTCAAATGATAAAAAAAAGAAAAGTACCCTTGGTGTTATCGAACTCCTATCTTTTGACTTTAAAATATGTTATGGGTTAATTACGAATTTCTTGGACTCTGTGAGGTGAAATTCGACGGTGCTTTTGATAAGAAAAAAAGCAAGGGCGGGATAGGTGTGGCCATTCGATACTCAGCAGGTGTGTTTATGAGAGCACTTTCAGCTAATATGAATAAGATTGTTGATCCTTTTACAGTAAAGGCCATGGCAGCAGTACGGGCTTTAATTTTTGCAGCAGAGATGAGATTCCAAGAAATAGAAATAAAAGATGATGCTTTGGGAGTTCGTAAAGAGGTTGAAATCCACTGAACCTGATGTATCACCCATTGGAGTTATTGTAGATGAAACCAGATTTAAAGCAAGACACTTTTTTAGTTGTCTCTTCATGCACACAAATAGAGTTGGGCTTAGCAGGGCAGGTAAAATTTAACCCAATACATGTGACTAAGGGATTATTGGGTTAAATAAATAAATAATTAATTAACTACAAATATGGGCTTTGAGATAAAATCCAACATAGATATATATTAGTCCCAAGCGTGTAGGCTAATGATGGTTGGAAAAAATGAAGCCCACATAAGCGTATGAGAAATTTAGTGCAACTCAATGCAGTGGAGAAATTTCAACACGGTCAAATGGCATTTTGAGCCTTAATTTTGGATTGATTGATTTTTCAAATCAGACGTAAATGCACATGTTTTATATGCTTATTGAAGAATCAAAATCCAAAAATTACTTTAATTATTTAACCATTAATATATCCCTTGATCATGGGCTGGATATTAATTTCTTTCTTGTACTGTAACCCAAGTCTCTATTTTATCTCCCTCTTTTCCCTTGGTTCCATAAGCAGGTCAACGATGATCAGTTCCTGCAGTGGAGAAAGATCCTACATCGTGCTGAAAAGTTGCATGGAGCTAAGAGAATCACATTCAGTTTTAAGTTTATAAAAAGGAGGCTTATGCTGCAACATACCAGCAACAAGAAACCAATTATGCCTATTTCAAAAAAAAAAAAATTCATAATTATATTTTTTTATTTGAGAAAAAAATATAATTATGAAAGGGTGTTCAACTTATCAAACTTTTTGATTTAATGAAGTGGCCCACCATATCTATTCATGAGCTAAATAAGATCTAAGAAATGTATTTATATGATTTCATTGATAGTTGACCTAACAATGACGATGATGATAATGATGATTCCTTTTATTTGGAGGGTCAAAATGGTGGTTTACATATTCTTTGGTTGGTTAGGAACAGTTCATTGAAACAAGCCCATTGCTTCCATGTAGCTTGCAATCATGTTCCAAATTAAATAAATGATCATATTATCATTTGCACAAAACCTTTATTATTTACTTAAAAATTAAAATTGAAAGCATATATAAGACACTTTTTTATTTATAAATTATGAGTTAAATTATGCAAATGGTCCATGTATTGACACAAAATTTAAACTTTAGTTCCTCTAGTATAATTCCTAAAAATTTCATTTTCGTACAATTTAAATTTAATAAAATTTATCCAATTACTAATACTTTCAGTTATTCTCCATTAATTTTGCTATATGGCCATTGACTTTACTGACATAACAACTTAGATAGATGAAATTAGTTAGTCAAATTATACAACTAGTTCTTGTATTGACATGAAATTTAAACTTTACTCCCTTTAGTATAATTCATAAAATATATATGTCTTTGAACAAGTTTAATTTGATAATGTTAGTCCAATTATGAATATGTCAATTATTCTTGATTAATTTTGCTGACGTGATATTGACTTTGTTGATTAAGAATACATTTTCATCCGAGATGAATAAAAAACTTAATTTGATGTTGAGCTAGCATCACCAATTTTGATGGGATTTGCGGCTTATAAGATATACCAGTATCATACTTGAATTTCAAAGAATTAAGCTAATTTTAATTTATTTATAATCTAAAACTCTAGTATATAATTATACAAATAAGTCAAAATAATTTTTATAGGATACTTTTTGACAATTTTTTTTTTCCTTTCCCTTTAACTTGGGGGCCTAATGTATTCATTAAAGAAGAGACTTCAATTGGGTTCTATTTTGCACATCATTAGAATGAACATCAACTATTGGATTGAATTTCAAGGCTTATAAAATTTATTAAAAAAAATACATATGCAAGTTTATTTTAAAATAAATAGAAAGTTAATAATTGCTATATATAGTTAATCCTAAACATGTATTTATGAGTATAAAGGTAACTTTTATATTTGACTTTCAAACAATATCTCTTTGTACTTTGTCTTTCACAAGTGAGATTGGAGATAAAAAATCTTTTCTCACTAAAAATGTTAGAGATGAAAAATCTTCTTTCATAAAACAGGTTTGAAACTTTACTAAAAACTCTTTTGAGACACTTATTAGATGACTCATGGATACTTTTTTTGTTGCTTTTATTATCATGAGAAACAATAGGAATATAAGCTTTATTATTGAGTGTTCCTATAGTATGTGATTGACCATCACTTAAATCATTGGCATTGAAGACATGTTCATCTATTGTACATACAAAGTTTCCTTTTAACTATGTAGGAAGATCATCACAATTACAATCATGATAAATAATAAGAATAAATTTCCAACAAAGGAACTCTTTTGATTGAATGGCTTCAAGAAGTTTATTTTTCATTGAAAATAAAACATCTTTAATAGAATAGATGTTAAATAATCTTTTCATTTTATCAATATTGCCTTTAAGCTCTGCTATGTTTTTCCCTATAGCAACTACTAACTTGTATAAATTTTGTTAGGTCATTTATATAACATTCCAAAAATCATTTAATCTCCCAAATCGTTTTTTCAATAGCACACTTTAAACTTTTTTTGATTTTTTCCTCCATGTAATCAACACATTCACATAATTCAATAAAAAATAAATATTAAAAATACAATTATCTTATTTAGTTAATGTAATAATAAAAATTAAATTTATGTACACATACTTGTATTGAGAAGAGGAATAAGCATCAAATGACAACTTCTGCTAATTTCATATAAGAAACTTGTGCAAATGATATGTGCCTAATTATTTAAACATAAAGTATTATATCATTCCAAACAAAATAATACAACAAAAAAAATGTATTAGAAGGAAGCTTAATTCACATCACCTTAACATCTTTGAGATTTTCGAAATCTTTAATTTTGGGCCAAAATTCGATCAATGTTTATTTGATCAACAATCTTAGTTTTGAATGTAGACCATATTCATTATTGAATCAAACAGCAAATGCATGTTCCAAAAAAGTACCTATGCTATAAGATTCTTGTGATCAACCTTTGATAATTTTAGTTTAAACATATATAAACTATAAAAAAAAAAAATTACAAATTACTATTTGTGTTATTAAAGTAAAAAAAAAAAACCCTAAAGAATCAAAACACATCCACACAACCATCTTGTTTTCCCATTCCTCTCAATGCTTTTATTGCAAAAATTACAAACTAACAATGTTTCGCAAACATATTTTGTCAAATTCAAAGGTTTACTACATCCAATACTATATAGTAACAAAAGTTTTTTTTTTTTAATGTATGTTATTGTTGAAGGGCATAATAAACTATCTAATGCATATAAAATAAAATTTGCCTTAAACTACTCCAAATTAGAAGTAATGTGGGGAATTATCTTTTCTAAGACATCAAAGTTCATGCAACCATTCTTTGGAATATGAATATGCTTACAAATGTATAGGGTTTTCGACTTATCTCAAAATTTTATAAGATGGGTGCCCTTAGCTAACAAACCAAGAATAATTAACGTTGTTTTAGTTATCAATGATATCTTACGATCATACAAATTCAACCAACGGTTGTTTAAGTCCACCATTTCAACTAACTACAAACAAAGACCTTTTTTAAGTTTATGTTCTTATAGTTGGAGCTAGTTTCCTAACCCAAGACTACAAATTGAATCATGGGATTGTGAAACAATATTTTTCAGTAACTTGTACAATCAAAAAGGGCTATAACGTGTATCCCAGCAAACCAAATTTTTTTTAAAAAAAGGTAAGCTTTTAAATTAATTAAAATAATAACCAATAAAACATTTTCATTAAAATCAATTAAACTTTTTGAAATCTTAAAAAAAATTGTGAAACCATACAAATTAAAAAAATATAACGGCAAATGACTAGCTTAATTTTAAAATAAAAAAAAGCATATTAGAAATACAATCTATGGAGAATATATGTTATTATCAATTGTAAGCGTTAATTATTATTCAACACATTATAGTAACTTTAATGATAATAACATAGTCAAACAATTATTTTTACATATAATATTAATACCTTATTAAGCTCCCGTTCAAAAATTTTTTCCCTTTTCATACCACACATAGTCAACAACTGTTAATTCTTCATAAACTAACTTTTTAACCTTAGGAAATGATGAAAATGCTTTTGTAATATCTCATTTAACCTATATCAAAAATAGTAATTTAAAATATATATATTATAAACTTGTTTGACATGTT